GCAGCCTGCGTGGCCCAGCGCTTCCGCTGCCCGCGGATCCGGGGATGCGCTGCCTCCCCGCGCCGCCTTTGCTTAGGGGGAGGCTCCCGAGGTGACTGCTCTGAGCTGTGTGGGTGCTCTCCTCCCCGTCATTCACTTTCTGCCCCCAACTCTTCCAGGGTGTGTTTATGGCCTTTTTTCCTCCTCGCTGAGTTTCAGCAGGTGGGAAGCTCATGGCACCAGTGACAGGACTGCCGCTCTTGGCACTAGTGCCTCCGCAGAAAGGCCAGTGCTGGGCATCTGCTTTGTCATCGGCATCCTAGGTTTTGAAAAACGTCTGGTACTTTGCTGCTTGACAGAGCTGTTAAAATTAGGCAGGAGCTGTGGTTTTTGGTGGCGCTTCAGGATGTGGAGCCACATCTGCCCTTACCGTTCGTTGGGTGAACGTGTAGTTCAGCCACGAGACAGAGGAAACGCTTCTTACTGTGAGCCTGATGGGGACCAAATGCGTCATCTTGACAACAACCAAAAGTGGAATGCTGGATATATGCTAGCGAGGAAGATGGTGTAGTTGGTGGACTCTTCCAGGTCCTTACCAAACTTCATACTGGGACTACTGTGCCTGGAGTTACCCGCGTGCTTTATCCTTCAAGTGCATTACTGCTCCTTAAGTTGGACCGTTACTATAGCTACGTGTGGTCTGCTTGTGTCAGTCCTCAGGCTGGCTAGAATACTTCATGAAAGGAGGTTAAAAATTCTGCTGAAACTTCCAGCAAGCTTAATGGGAGAGGAGATTTTTCTTGTGCGAAGCTTGGGATGAGTCCACTTCACATTGCCCCCTGCAAAGACTCTAGATGTGGGTGACTGTTGGACACTGTCGGCCAGCGCCCACTGTGGAGCCCCTTGGTGTCTAAGGGGCACTGCAGTTTGTGCCCAGTATGCTGAGCTACCTAGCTCCTTGGGTACTACAGTTTCAGGAGCTGTTAGTGTTAGGACAACTTAGAATTAGCCTAATAGGATGAATGTGAGCTCCCCGTTACGACTTTTTGGCTAAGTAAGTAAAAGCAGTGAGGCAATGTTACCTCTATATATGGCAGTAACGAGCCATTACGGGACTATGCTGTCCAGTTCTGGTGTCTGTGCGTGGAAAGGGATGCTGACGAATTGGAAAGGGTTCAGAAAAATAACTACGGGAGTATTCAGACATCTGGAGACTGGATTGTACAACAGAGTGAGGTAAAGCAAGTAGGTTGAGCTGCTTATCGGGAAGTGTCAAGAGATGCTTGTATCAGATTATAGCTGCCCATGCAAGGAGAAGAAAGCAGCTCATTAGCAGACGGGAGTAAAGCAAGGTTCAGTGACCGTAATTTGAAACTGGACGTTCTCAGGTTAGGAATAGGGCACATTATTTAGTGTGTTAATGCAGCTGAAGAGTATGGGGCTATGTCTCCTCAAAACTTGTAAAATTCTAAAAGTTGCAACTAAATATTAGCTAGGAGAGAAAGGTTTTACATGGAAGGCCTGACCAGGGATTTTATTAATGTGACTTGAGGCCTTGCCGTATGTGAATGGCATCGCTAAATCCTTACGCTTCCCCAGAAGAAAGTACTCCTAAGCCCAGGCTATGCTTGCAAAGTATGTTTTATTCCCTCTACAACCCTGACTAAGTCCTGTGTGCTGCCTGGAAAGATATTTAAAAAGTAGGTATTGTAATGATCAGATTAACCTCATTTACACAGTAATAAGTGGATGCACTTCAAATTGGCTAAGAAGTTTCCTAATATTCACTGTGATGTTAGTAAATAGAGTTTGCATGTTGATTTTTTTTCTTGAGATGATATGCTGCAACTCTTCTTTAACCTTTACAAATAATCCACTGGCTGCAGGTGGTGTTATCTGTCTGAATGAAGGTTGCAAATCATTCCCAGAACTTTAGAAAGGCAAATTTGTCTGGCACATGTGTAAATGACTTTGTGTGCTTTTGGAAATTTGTTTTTAAACCGTCTTCCCGTTCTTAGGTGTTCTGTTTCTTCATTGTCTGCCTCAGCAGAGTTTGCTCTAAGCACAGGTGTGCTGTGAGTGCTTAAGAGGACTGATTAGTACCAGCTGACACAACACATGGTTTGGTATCCCATGATACCTGACTGTTAGTTGACTGCATAGATCTTCCGTTTAATCCCTGGCCACAGCTGGAGCTGCTTTTTAGTATTACTGCAGTAGTGTTTAAAATGAAAGAAAAAAAAAAAAAAAGAAAAAAAAGGCAAGTAATGTGTTATTTGCTCAATCTTGTGACCTGCAAAATGAAAATAAAAATATATTTTACTACATGAAATTGTAGCTAAGGTATATACAAAATATTTTTGACAAATACTTGAAAAATTAGAGTGTGTATGACGAATAGCTTCAGATACTGAAGTTTGTTCTTTGATATTAGAACATGCAGCATTCCCATTTAAGTGAATGAGAATTCTGCCTGCATAAGCAGAACCCAGGCCCAAGTAATAACAAAATACATGCTGCAGAAAGATCAGATAACTGTACTCTGGATTCTTTCCCAGGTTCTTCCTTTGTCTACCAGTGTACTGGGACTGGTTATTCACAGCTGAAATCAATGAGTGCACAGCATTGATTATAGCTGGAACAAGTCTGAACACAATATTTGAGCAACAAGAAACCTGATTTTATGAATCCTTACGCCTATTTAACATAAGGTCTTTACGTGCATCTTAAGCTATATGGATATGCTGTTCAAGGTTAATGGTAATGCATGTTTTTTTTTAAGATTGTGACCTTGGGCATAAAAGTGGTAAGGGTTGAATATTACTTCAGAATGTTACATTGTGTAGTTCACTGTGATGGCTTAGTATTGATCTGGTTTAGTAGGAAGAATTTGCCTTGACTCATTTTCTTTTGTTTTTCAGGAAAAGAAATGGAGCAAGCTCAGTAACTGCCCAGTCTAACGTCTTACTGATATCTTAAGGAATCTTACGAATACTTACTTTGAATTGGAAAAATGACTGCAGATCTAGAAGAAAATACAGGTTGTTGGAAAAGAATACCTGTCAAAAAGTGGAACGTCCAATAGTTAATTTGGAAATAGTGTAAAATAAATATACCTGTTATGGTACGATTCTGGAGTGGAGTTAACTCTGTAGCACATAGGTAGCTCTCCAAGGAGGGGGAGGAAAGAAAAAGAGCTTTCTGTTTTACTAAATTATGGAAATTTTTTGGAAGACGTGGACATGGATTTTGAGCCTAGTCATGGTTTCATCGGAATTTCACAGTGACAACAGGCTTTCATATAGTTCTCAAGGTAGGGGTCTGAGCTCTGTAGGTGAAAAGAAGCATCTTTTTTTTCGCTTTGTATTTGGATAATATTTTCTAAACCATGTTTATATAATTATTGAGATCATATGGGCTCTGCTCTTAGTTTTACCATGATTCATTGTCATGGAAGTTTAAATACAGCAGATGTGATTAAAACAAAACATTTAATTTCTTTCTGGCGGCTTTTAACTGTAGGCAAGTCTTGCAAATGAAATACAGTAAAATGTTGTGCAGTTTAGAAACTGGCCATAACAACACTAACATGGTTTTAGACTAGGAAGTAAGGATCTAATCTTGCTTTGTTCCATTAACATTTATAGGTTTTTGACTAAATAAAGAGCTATTTACTTGTTTTTACAATAAAATACTTTCCATTACTACTGGGTTTATTCTTGCAGGTTGATTTAATAGTTTTATGTCTTGAATTATGTCGCTGTGGAGAATGTGTCCTTCTTAGATTAGAATTTGGCCCCAAATGTTTACATATTTTGCATAAATAGGAAAAGAGTAGGTAGTTAAGAATGCTTGTATTTCCAGTGTCATCAGATTAATAGGAAACTGAAGACATTTTCTTGACTTAAAGAAAAGAACATTTTATTTTACTTAGTGAAACGCTACGTCTTGCATTTACCTCAAAATGGCTTTTACTCATGAGGGTGATGAGATTTAGCGAGTATGGTTTATATTTATACTACTATTTGTTGTTTCCTGTTCTATTTTCTTCTCTTCTACGCCCACTCCCTGGAATTGTCTTACCTTGTGATTACAAAGAGGAATTCCTGTCTTACCTTGAACACTACCAACTAACAATCCCAATAAGGGTTGATCAAAATGGAGCCTTCCTCAGCTTTACTGTGAAAAATGATAAACCCTCAAGAAGGAGGAGGAGCACAGACCCTTATGACCAAGAACTGGCAGCATCTAAATTATTTTTTAAACTTTCTGCCTATGGCAAGCACTTTCATTTAAACCTGACTCTCAACACAGATTTGGTGTCCAGACATTTTACAGTAGAATACTGGGGGAAAGATGGACCGCAATGGAAGCACGATTTCTTAGACCACTGTCATTACACAGGATATTTGCAAGACCAACACAGTACGACTAAAGTGGCCTTAAGCAACTGCAATGGTCTGGTAAGTGCACGTTACATGTTCTAGTATAGTAGTATGCTTGTCCCTTTTAAATGATAGAAGAGCTTAATTGGCATATCTTTCAGTCTTTTGAGTCCCTGCAGAAAGCAGCAGACAGGGAGGTGCAGAAACACCCCTAAAACCTGATGTGGGACCTGGGGAAAAGTAGCAGGCATTTTTTCAAGCTTAATTGTAAGTACTAAGACCCAATTCTGCAGTCCTTCAGCAGGCAACATTTTCAGCGTGTCCAGCGTCTGCACTAGGGCTGCAAGATTAGGTCTGTGCTGAGATCCTTACAGGTTATGAAAGTGTTGCAAGCTTACGGGGCAGGGAGGAGGAAGCAGTGGATTAGGATGCTGGATCTCTCCAGAGAGACGTTAATTGAACTCAACACCTGTTTGTTGCCTTTGAGAATTTGGGTTTAGAAACCTTGAGTAGATAACAGAGGAGGAGGTGCTTGGTGCAGAAGTCATCATTGCTATAAATACAAAAAGCATTGAGGAAGGTAGATACTTTGCAAGTACCAGCATCAGAAAGTAATAATTTACCTTTTTTAATAAATATTTTGCTTACAAATTGTGAACACTTGCATTTAGAAGTAGGATTAGAAATTCTCATCTCTTATTCTTACCTCTTCTCTTACTGTTGATCTCTTGATGCCATGACAATAGCCCTTGCATGGGAAAAAGCTTTTATTCCCAACAGAAATTGCAAAACAAATGCAAAAAATTAAAAAGCAGACTATTGAGTAACAAAATACTAAAATAGAAGGGCATGACTATGAAATACTAGATCAGGAGTCAGTGATTTGTCTATATATTACAGTTATTCATTCCGGTTTTAATTGTAGTAGAACACTGGTCAATGTTCTTGTTTAGGAATAGACAGATCTAATGAATTACTAATGAAAAAAAACCAAAACAGATTACACAGACTTGCTAAATTAATTCCTGTTTGTCCTTGGAAGTGCTACTGAATAATGCATCTTATGATGTTACTTACAAACAAAAGCCAGCTGCTTCAGACCTAGATAGGTTGTATCACACCCAGCTCCTTCTGATACCCCTGATACAGTCTAGGTTAGCATTTTGGTGTACTCTTGAGGAAAAATAATTTAATGGGAGTTGCCAAGGCTAAGGAAAGATTTTCAAAGAAATGTAGTTAAAATGGTGCTCCATTGCGTGTGGTATCACAGTTTGGTTAATGCGACTTGTAGCAGGTAGAGGTTTGACTTTAGTACCATTTTTACTTTGGTTTTGCAGTTCCCATATAATAACAGATTTTTTTTGGTCACAGTTATTTATGCTGTTAAACTAATAATTACTTTTGCTTTTGAATTCTTTTCAGCTAAAAATACTATGGAGACCAAATCCCCATTTTCAGGACTTGCTTCTTTAAGAGGGCCTGCATGCCTCTGTATTTCCAGAGTTTCGGCACTGACTGGTTGGCCCCCTTGGAGCCTGCAGTCAGTGCCATGGTGCTCCTGTTTCAGTTCCTCTCAGACCTTGGCTCGGGATCGAGCCAAGAACGCCTGCTCTTGCCTTAGCTGACTCCTGATTTCCTTTCACGTTAGAAAAGCGAGAGTGGGATGAAGCAGGAAAAAGTCCATGTTTTCTTTATCAGCTTTGCCCAACTCTCGCTCCTTGTGACACTTCCGTTTCTTCTTTAGCACACAAGGTGTCATGGTGAAGCAGAATCTTTTTTTTTTTTTTTTTTTTGCTTCTGTGCCTTACACCCTGAGGTGACATTTAGCATTCCCATTGCTGCGTGTTTTCCCTCCACTTGCTGGTTTGCCGGAGCGGAGCTGCCTGTTGTTCTGTAGTTCTAGGTGTCAGTATGTTAATGTTGTGGTTTTAAGTGAACTTCAGTGTGGAGTGCTTACCAGTTAAGTTGTCCTCTTCAGTGCTTTTAGTAGTTGTCAGCTCTTAGGCGTTTTTTCCAGGTATTAAAGCACCCTTAATGCAGTTTCTGGGCATACCATAACTGGCCCTCTGGAGTTCTTCATGGTCATGCCTCTTAGTTGGGACTACGAGGGTCAGGTGTTGGCTGCATCACCTAGAAAGGCCTAGCCACAAGCACGTGAGGCTCCTGTTATGCTCCAGAAGCAGCTGCAGGGGTGAAACGAGGCTCTTTCTCCGAGAGGCAGGAGTCCTGCAGAGGGGTACAGTCACAGGCTTGACTCGGTATCATCCTCTACTGTACAGAAACTCCTCTCATCCAGTGCTGGCAGGGCCTTCCAGAGCACTGAGTATGGGAGTTAAACTCTATTCAGATAAATCCATCACAGAGTTATTTTTAAATGATGATTCCAACTGACGAATAATTTGTTATACAGCTACTGGTTAGAACATGTTTAATAAAGCAACTGGCAGTGAATATTGAAGACAATATTACTTGTTTTAGAACTAGTGATAGTTCGGAATATGTCATGCTTAAGGCATTCTTTGTATTTTCCAGTCTGATTGTTGATCTGTAAGAAACTGCCAGTCACGTTCTGTATAGTCTTGATGAACATCTGTATCAAAGCCAGTCATTTTAAGTTTAACTCTGAAGCAAGTAGTGATCTTTAACAGTGAGTGTTGCTCACAAGACAACTTTAAGCATTCCATTTATTCCAGTTGTCCTGTTAGGCTTTAGTGTTGCCACGAGTCAGATTTCTTTCCCTTATTTAAAGCTTTGAGTTACTCTGTTTAGTTACTCAGGGTGGTCAGGTGAGACCATGATCTAATTGATTTAAGTTGTATGGCTTTGAAGAACACTTGTAGTACCTGAGAGAAGTTTTAGTGCCAGGAGGGCTTTCTTTTAGTTTTGTTATAATGAAAGTGACGAGCAGTCAGTTCGTGTCTCTCTTACTGTTTCCTGCTTCAGCCTCTCCCTCTATATTTCTTATTACCAAGTGCTCCAGAATTACAGGCTGCTGCTCACTGAAGTTTTCATTCCAGCAGTTTCCATCTGCTGGGCCCTGATTATGCTGTAAATTGTCTTGAGTTATGAGGAAAGCACTATAATCCAGTGAGCAGTCATGTGAGGAAATTGAAGGTCTTGTCCGGCAGGCTTGTGCTGGCTTTCGAACTCATATTTACTTTAGTGGATGTTACATTTGTTGATGGATTGCAGGTTTGGTCCTCTCATGAAAGAGCCTGCGACAAGCAGTGTTTTGGGGCCTTTGGATGAAGGGTGCAAGGCAACAAGGCTGGGGCATTGCCTAAGCTGAGTATGTCACTTCAAGAGGAAGAAGTTTGTCTAATTCTGGGGGGAGCACGTCTTAGAGAAGAAACGTTTTGGAGCTCGTGACAGTGCAATATAGCAGAAACGAAATGTTTTGGATTCTGATCCACCTGACCCTGTCCTCTGCCAGGTGTCAGAGTTCTTAACTGAGTGCTCAAACAAGTTTTCCATAGTAGTGGATGTTCTCATTTTGCTCTGAAAAGTAGTACTGGGAAACACTTCAAAATGTATAGAAAGTGATTATTAGGAAAGTAAATGAGAGGTTAAATCGCATTTTGAGGCTCCTATGGGTCAAAGGAAATGTTAAATATAATAGGCCAAGTATTTCCATGGTATGCGAAGCTCTGTGCACTGTGTAACATCTGTGCTGGGTAGCACCAATGTTTCCATCCAAACAGAAATGATAAAGAAAGCACAAGAAATAGGCTGTGGCTAAAAGTGTGACCTTACTTGGTTAAAGGAGGAATTGTTTTACTGGAAGACTTCATGTTTGTTTCATGTATTCCTAAATTCATATATGTATGAATTACTCATATTCTGAAATTAGCTCATTTGATAGGTGATTCTACCATAAAGAATACTTCTATAGATTATAAATTGCATGTGGTATGTTATTTTTGAATTGTATGTTAAATATTGTCTAGTTCATGAAATAATTTATAAAGATCAGGAATTATATTGAAAAGGATTTATTGTTTTAGATCTGGGTCTTTGGAGTTCTCTTTGGTGCTAGTATGCATTTGCAGTATAGACTTAGTATTCAGAAAATTACGTGTAAGTTGTCCCTGTCCTAGTTTAAGGTGTCTTGTTAGATTCCGTAATGTACCATCTCAGGCCAGATCACTGTTTTTTTCATCTCTAAGAACACAGTAAGCTAATGCAGTCTTCTCTGTCATAAAACCACAGTGAAACGTATAGCCAGCTGTAGACATACTGAACAACACTCACATGTTTTCAGAATTTTCCATTACTACTACTTTATATTAAAAATGGATAAAGCATGAAGTCTAGAAAGGTTCAAGGCATGGAAAAATTGCGGAACAGTGGTACTGTGTGGAAAAGGCAGGCAGCTACTTGTCCTCCATAATTCAGCTTGCTTCTGTGGATGGACATCCGCTATCTGAAGGAGGTTAAGGCCCCAGCTGGACAGCCTGACAGAAAAAGATTGCTTTTCACAAATTCAGGGGAACTCCGTGTGGATTCACAGATTTGTCTGAGCATGTCAAACTGCTGGATCCAGACCTTATATATGTTCTCAGGAGTTGGCAGTCAGTAGTGGGATTGGATAACACAGGACCTCAATCAATCTGTTTTAGATAATAATCTTGGGAATGCTGCTTATCGTAACCTACTTGGGGTATTCAGCTTGTTTCTATTTTGTCAAAATAATTTCCTGGTCCTTAAGTCTTAATGATGTTTCTCGTGCTTTGCAGTGGAAATTTAATTTTCAAACTGTTCAAAGACAATAGCAAAGTAAAAAAAAAAAGGGGGGGGGGAATTCTAAATTAATAATTTTTGTTTCGAAAGGGCATTATTTCAGTCTCCTTTTTCAGCTGAAATTGTTTTGCTCAAATAGTAGATTATAAGCCGAAACAGGGGTTTAGAATGTTAGTTTGGATATGATAGCGTAATTACCACTATTTGTTAGTCGGGCGTTGCTGAATGCATGTACAGTGGAAGTATCTAGCCACATGAATTTTCTAAACTCAGAATAAATGCTGGTTGTCACTGACATAGGTACTTTTTATGTACAGAATTCAGAGTGCTTCTTCAGAATCAGTCACTGAGATTCAACAAGGCCACTTCAATCAGTTTAATATTGGAAGAACAGTTTTGTTTGAAAGCAAAATAGCTATGTTATGTTTAAAATGGTACGTTGGGCTTGTGAATGACATATGCAGGGCAAGTGTGTTTCCCATGTTCATCAAATCATTTCGAACCGACCGCATACCTGTTCTGACGACCTGGTGGTAGGTCTTAATTAAAATTTATTTGCAGTTCCTTAGGTAAATGTTATTAAAATCTCTGTTTTCCTAAACCACCATGGTGTTTGAGGAGATACGATTAGATGTCAACTAGGCATAGGAAAAATCAGTGATAGTCCTGACCTTTTTCACTGCTGTTACCTGAAGGAACTGTTTGCAGACATTCATCTTAGTTATTGTGTATTTTCTCCTGCAAATATACGCTATTTGTATGGAGAATATATGCTGCAATTAAGTGTTGTTTATGGCGTCTGAATCAACTCACTCCGGCCGAGGTCATCTCACTGCTTAAAACCATCATTTTCAGTACCTGACAAAAGGTCTTGTTCATGTTTAGGCTTGTTAACCTGCCTGGAACTGTGTACAGACATGAAGGATGTATACTGCAGAGCAATCTGATTTAGGTTAAGACGCACTGTTTTGCAGAGACAGAGCCACAGGTTGGATGATACCTCTGTCTCCTCTGGCTTGGCATGGAGCGGACAGCCTGATGGAGTTGGCCAGAACCACTCTGCAGGACTCTTTTCCTGTGGGAACATAATACCAGAGCTTATAATGGCTCAGGATTCGCTTGAACCCAGATGTCTGACATCCAGACTGGATGCAGTCCAGACTGTCAAGGCTCTTTCTGCACATCTGGCAAACCCAGTTACAATTTGCTTTATATTTTCAATACTACTTAAGCAGCAGTGTACCAGTAAATGATACACGTTCTAGTAAAATCTTAGACTCCAAGTAACAAGAAGGCTTTGTGAGAGAAATTTGATACCAGCATCTTCCCAGTGAATATAGAACCTGATGTTACCTGATTATTGAGTAAATAATTGAGTTTATAGTGAAAAATATATGGAAGAGGTGTTAGAGTCACTATGTAAACAGCAGGTAATTGAAAGCTGCAGTGTGTTCATACATATATTTTCAAAATTTATAATAGGGTTATATTTGGAAAACACTGTTCTTTCTGATGTGTTACACAGGATTTTTTATTTTGTGAGTTTTATGTTGTCGCTGAAATCCGGTTATTCCAGGACTGGCGAACATCAGGCGTTTGATGTACAAAACAGCAGCAGGACGAGAGCTTTAACCAAGAGTCAGATGGCAAGCGCTGCCTCTGAGAAGCAGCTTTAGGGTATTTAGTGCAGATACGGAACAAGTGGTCGTACGGCTTGACCACAGGGGTCTCATTGGAGGAAAAAATAATACCCTTTAAAAAAAAGTTAATGCACAGTACTTGCTTTACAGATCAAAGGTGTGGAAGCAATTTGTGATTCATCAAATCAGGATACGAATGCAGAAGTTCGTGCTTCCAGTCTCCTACCTGATGAGTAGCTCTTTCTCCTGGAGTAGAAAGTTCAATGCATTCAGAATTTTCTAGATATGAATACCAGAATTTTTTATTTAGCAAATATAGGTGTAGAAGTATGTCAGGGCTTATTCCCCAATATTTCTGTATCTGAAAGGATTCCAAAACTGGATTTTCTGCAAAAGTTCAGTTTTAATTGCTAAAGGTTCAGGAAATTGCATAGTTGGCCTGAAATCTCTCCTTTCTTCCATAAACCACTTCCTGTTTGGAAGAAGCTGAGTTCACAAATGTAGAAGTTATGAGAATAGACTATCTACTATTCTTCACTGCAGTATGAGGGGGGAAAAAGAAGTTAATTTGTTATGGAGAATGAGGTCTAGTGCACAGTCTGCAACCACTTGGATTTGTCAGATTTGTGGCAAAACCTTTTAAGGAATAAATGCTTTGTAGATAGTGTATTCTAAGTTAGTATTAATAATTGGATTTTAATAACTAGCTCAGTTTTGGCATTAAGCATCTGGATGTAAGATGCTGAATGGTTTCCCTGAATATATGTTATAAAATCATATCATTGTTCATTTGGGTTTCCCTGAATATATGTTAAGAAATTAAGCCTTCAAGCTATTTTTCCTTGATGCAGATGCATTTTAAGCACCTACCGGTATGGCATCATAGAGGAATACTGATCTTGCCATTTTGGCTTGGCATCATGTTTAATGGATATGAATTATGTAGTTCTGGAACATACCTGTGAAGAGATTATTTGTCAGATACTGAGAATATCTCTTGCTTTCTTACCACATCCACCAGAAATGATGGGAAAGAACTCCAGAAATAGGACAAATGATATTTTTATCCTTTTCTCATTGTGTTGCATATAGGCACTTAACTTCTGCTCCCACTAAAATCAGAGGAGGAGAGCTGGCTCACTCATTGTTTTCTGCGTTGGCTTATAGTTGTGGATTTCTTCACAGAGAGACGATAGTCTAATGTTTTTATAAAAAGTTAAGCTTTTTAATAGGAGTTTTGTATTGTGTTTTGCAAGTTTTTTCTTTTCTTCTTTAAGCATGGAGTCATTGCTACAGAAGATGAAGAGTATTTTATTGAGCCTTTAAGGAATATAACAGAAGGTTCTAGTAACTTTAATTATGAGAATGGGCATCCTCATGTTATATACAAAAAATCTACCATGCACCAGCAACACCTCTATGATCACAGTCACTGTGGAGTCCCAGGTAAATAAGTATGAATGTCATTCCTTTTAAAAACTTATAGCTTAAGATGTGTTTTAAAAATCTTGCTTTATTCATGTGTAAGACACAGTGCAGATGTAGCGCTGGGAATCCTCCCTTTGTGTGATGCAGTGTGTCCTGTTAAAAAGTAGGTTTTATGGTTTTGGTTTTCTTCAGATTGAGGGTGTAGTGTCTTTCAAACATCGAGACACTGTGAACAAGTCTTGGTTTATGTCTGTGTTGTGTACAGTGGTAGTAATGAGCACAGCCTTCCATCCTCACTGGAGAATGCATGTACTTCATTCTCCAACTGGAAAGCATGACTGAGTGACTGAGTATTACTGCTCAGTGTTCAGTAAGTGTTCCATTTTATTTGAGGAAACTTAACATGAGGAGATGTGCTAGTATGATGATCAGTAATACATCTGGAACTGAAGTCCTCGTCTTTCTCATTTACAGGGTTTATGGTGTTTTGTTACTGGCTTTTGGTTCAGTGGCTTAACATTGTTCCTTAAGAGTGGAGTATGTGATTTACAGGTGCCATAGGGAATGATTATGTAGTTTTGATTGAGACATACTTTCCCTGCAAAGCAATTGTAACTTCCACAAACAAACTTTTCAAGTACTCTTTGACATGATTTTCACTTGCTTAAACTGAAAACGAACTTCTTGAAAACAGCATGGAATAAATCTGACAGGTTGGTTTAGAGCACTAAGGTAATGTGGGTTTTTTACGTAATAGAAAAAAATGTTCTAACTTTGTCATGTATTTATATCTCAGAAATAGCTTGTTCTTAAAAGTTCAATCCTGGACAGTTGTATTCCATGAGATTCAGTGCACAGGGCAGGCTGACACATACTAATCTTAAAATAAAAATAATATCACTGTGCAATGATGTAACTCATTTCAGCTTCTTTTAGAGGTTGCAACTGTTACTGGCACCAGCTGACTAAACTTACAGTACTGATTGTCTACAAAGGCCCATGCCTGGGAGACAGTTTTTCCTGAGTGTTTCAGTTAACTGTGTTTAGGGATATGCATGTAACTTCTGTTTTAGTGTGGAAGCATTATCCCATTTACGTGCTTCTAATATTTCAAAACGAATCTCCTAACTATTACTGTCTGCTAACTGATTGTAAAATGGGAGTACTGATGTGTATTGATTTTGTAG